GGTATTAAGGTGATACCATTTGAAATGCATTAATTATTCACTAGGTTTTAATTTTACTATTTTTGATAATAATTAAAATACGCTAAATGCACATGAACATGTAATATAACAATAGACCTAATTGTTTCCCTGAAAATTTAACTTAAAACCCGAATATGCTCAAAATATCAAAATCGTGAAATTAAATGGTTTTACAGTACGAGTGAAACCTGAGTACATCACGCATCATGTTCGATACAGGTCCCACGTGATGTATACGACGCTGTTAAAATAAATTATTTGTTTATATAAAATCTGAAAGTGTGTAGAAGCTTTAATGTGATACCAATGTGAAGTGAAATCAAACACCACCGTCTGCGTTTAGAGTTGGTGTAAACATGGTATTTTACACAGTTTGTAATTTCGCCAGGTTCTGTGGGATACAATAACAACATCTGAAGTGAATAGAAACGAAGTGAACGTTAACATGACCAAGAATTCATACCTTAGTTATAAAATGAGAATAAGGTAAAAACATCTGTATTGCCAAATAAGATAAAACAATAGCACTCATACTGTAATGTCTTCTTGTCAGCCTTGTAGGTTTTAATGACGATTTCAAGCATTTGGAATCTCCATTGCTTTCCTGTTGATAAAATAACACAATAAATGTTAACATAAATTAGTTGAAAACACAGTCAGGTTTAGTTTTGGAAACATGTCCCAATAGTTTATGTGGTCGTTAACTTTGGTAAACCATTTAATTTCATTACTAGGAATTTTCCCATTTTCACTGACTTACTGAATTCACCAAAATTCGTCACATCACGCATAATTTCATACGTCTTGTACAATATTTAAATCCATTATTTTATTAAATAATTTTGAACTAGGGCAAAAAACTTGTTTGATAATCTGGTAGTGCCTGTATTTGGCTGCTGGTGTACACATCTCTATATCTGAGCAACTACTTGCCAATTGCATTTAAGTCTCATACTATCAATAACCTATCAGAACTTGTGTTACAGGGCACTTTCTAGTGTTGTCCAGTAAGGCTTGCAGCAATTGGTTGACAAATCAGGGCTTACAAAAAGTGAAAACAGACTCTATGTTACCACAACTGGTCCTGCATGTGTACATTAGTGTAGTGCTATGATTTTTAACCAACTGTAAATTAATTTACTTGAGCTGGATTGAATTTTGATTGAAAAGACATTTTGGTTGCAATTATTTTCCCTAATTTTCGATGAGTTGAATGTAAAATTTTCACTGATCCATTCCTCCAGTAAAAAAAAAAAATCCAAATTAAAATAAAGTTAATTATAATAATATTTTGCTTTACAGTACTATTCTTACGGACATACATGTGTTTGAGGGAACTAATTTCCCAAAGT